TAACACATTCCTTGACAGTGGGGCCCTTCGAGATGTTCGTGGATGATATTACTGTCAATTTTTGGTCCCTGATGAAGAACCTCACGGACGTTCATGAGACAGCTGGTGATACTGAAGTCTTTTCCCGAGTCAGATTGCGATGATAGATAGATGAACGTCTTTGCTCAACTCAAGTAGTCTCGGTCCTTGGTTCAGGTGATCAACACTGACTCAACCTCCAACCCCGATCCAAGGGGGTTGCATGTGGTCAAAGAAGGGCGTTCTTCAGTCTTCTGTCAGTGGGCACTCCTTTCGTTGTACTTCATTTCTCTTGGGCCGCTGCATCTCTTTGGGATTCAGGATGACTCATTTATGATGCACAACATTTACATAGTAATCCTTATCATAAGTGTTCTATTCACATTGTAAAATATGATCCTTTTCACATTCAATTAAATAATAATGATATTGAAAAATCAAAGATTTGACCTTCATATATGGGAGAACGCAATGTGCCTTACTACACAAGTTTGGGTAGAATTGAGAAGTCATAAATATTTGAATGCCTTGAAGTTGAATGGAAATAATAAATGAATTAGAAATTTTAGAGTGAGGTCAATGGCGACATTGACATTTGAAGTTGATAGAGATGCCAAACTTAGTTTGAGATAGTACGATATATAAAAAATCAATCAAAATTTATATTACAAGCCTCAAATTTTAAAAATTGAAGTTGAATTAGGATTGAAGAGGATGAGATAATAAATATTACAATTATTTTAAATAATATAGTAATTATGTAATATAATATTTTTCATCAATAAAATACATAATACTCTAATTCAATACACTTCATTATTCAATATTTTGAATCGATTCTAAGGGTGTGTTTGGGGTAGCTTGTGCTTATCCAGATAAGTTGTTTATCTGGAAATGCGGACCACGGGATTCGACCCGTGTTCCGTGTTTAGTGTAAAAAACCCAACTGTTTTTCGATAAGCTGTTTATCTGGAAATGCGGACCACGGGATTCGATCCGTGTTCCACGTTTAGTGTAAAAAACCCAACTGCGTTTTTTGATAAGCTGCTCAAACACAGTTTTCAAACAGTGAGGTGTCATTTTCAAAATGTTGTCGCTGCAGATAAGTTGTCCCAAACGGAGCTTAAATTAAAATTTTATGATATGATATTTTAATTATTTTGATTTTAAGTTATTTTTTTAAATTTCTAACAAATTCAATCAAAATCAAACAAATATAACTTGATCATAACTAGAATCAATATGATCATTAAAATTGTCTCGGCACTCTAATTCAACCGTTATTTTTGAACAATTTTCTATCAATTTTTTGCGAAAATAATTTCGGAACCAGACGAAATCGGCTGAGATAGATGACCGGTTCACAGTTGAGCCGACCGATCAGTTGGTCCAACCTAACTTTTTAAATCATGATAAATATAATAATTTTGAATGCCATTATGATCTAATATGACTCTTGGACTTATGTTGCAATATGCTCCGCTAATGTTGTTTGATTATCAATATATTAAATTTTTAGTAGTTCAAGGTGGAGGCAGCACCATCCTTTAAATGTGAGGTAGCTGCAACAACCACACCCACCCCCTTAGTTCTTATGTTTTTTACATATCTAACACCTAAACTTCCATTTGTACAAAATATAATATTTTTTTTTATGCATGGGAAGGTAAATTTCAGTTCTTAAAAGTTAAATAAGTAAGATCTTTGTGTTATAAATGTAGAAAATAAAGTTTAGGTGTTAAATACGTAAATATAGAGGAAATGCGTGTGTTGAGAAAATTAAGGCGAAGAAAAACAGTAATCGACACAAATCCACAAGAACACAAAGATTTAACGAGGTTCGATAAAGATGCCTACGTCCTCGGGAGCAGAGCGGCGAGTTCCTTTCAATATTCAGAAAAGGATTTATAAAAATCAGACATTCAGCTCTCTCAAAGACCTAGGATTACAAACGGATCTATTTATAATCATTGAGTAAACCATACAGTACAATATGTAATTCCCAGCGTCTGTCCCTATATGGTATATGAGTCATATCATAACAAATCTCCACCTTGGCGAATATCCAGTCCCATAGGAGAAAAGAGGAAGTTACACCTGCACCAATGCGGGTTGAGTCACCATGCTTCTGTTGCGCCCACGCTGATCTCAACCCACTAAATTCCAAGAAACACACCTCTTCAATTTCAAAAGACATGCCTTCATTCCAAGATGCTCCAAATTCTGGTATTATAAGTCATACCTAACAGAGTGGTATGTATGTAAATGCCCCCTTCCTTTTTGCGTTTGTGAGGCATATAATCTCAGAAGCATAAACTTCAATTTTTACCAATGTATCACCTTATGCATGAAAACGTGTATTAAAGTTAAAAAGGTGTGTTTTGATGTTATATGGATGATTTTGGGTGGGATAGAGGTACTGATCAAACTTTAGGTGTTAAATAAGTAAATACATATGAATTGGGTGGTAGGCAAGAAAATGAACCTAAAATTTAATTGAGGAGAGTTGTCACATCATCTACCACACTTGAAATTTTTTAAATTACTATTTAGTCCCACATCTCAAAGCTATTGCTATTTAAATTCAAAAAAAATTAGCAACCATGATTGTTCCGCCCAAGCAATTTATGTGCACTTGACTTTCATAAAAATGGTTCTTTTATATCCATAAATAAGTTATGAAATAAAAGTTTTAATTTTTAGATTTATTTTTTATTATTTGGATTTATCCATTGAATGTGTGCTTCTTCCATATTCAAGGTCCATTCTATCTTCCATTACTTAACATTTACAAGTTTCTTGCAACACATCATTTGCCACCTTTAAATTATGATGTCTATAACTATATGAGGATCATCTTTTAATTGCAAATAAAGGGACAATCATATTTTGTCTAGATCATCTTCACAATACTTTTATAGTCTCGTTTTTGTCACTTATATGGTTTTGTTTATGACAACTTTCTATCAACTTTATATTTAAGACCATCACCACAGCTCTGTTTGGGAAAATGTTTTGTTGAAACCTAATCTGTTAAAGTGTGATGATTGTAAGAAAATTGTTGTTTGATTTTTTTGAAAAAGTTATATGCTTATAATTCTCACCACAGCTTTTAAAAAGTTGCAGCCGCCCCCAAACAGACCATAAGTCTTATCATCTCTTACTCTAAAAAGATATATTACGAGTATTCTTATCATCTCTATAACCTTCACACACCTTTATACTCTATCTTTGAGATGTTCCATCTCCACATATATAAGGAAGAATAACCTTACAATCCTTCCTTAATGATCTTCACAGCATGCTAATTTCACCTCATATACCATATTTAGGATATGTCACATTCACATTGATGGTATTGACCTCATTTTGATGACAACAAACTTTAGGTGTTAAATATGTAAATTCATAAAAATTATTTGTTATGTGAGTAAATTTCTCAAAATATGGTTGGTGAATTTCTAGCTTAAAAGTATTAAGGGATTTGATCTGACTAACAAAATAATAAATATATTCATTATTTTCTAGAAAAATATTGTGTTTTTACACATTTTTTTATAGATATTTGAATGTAATTTTAAGTTAAAATGAAAGCTTTCCATACATGCACATATAAAAAGAAGAAAATATTTTAATTTATTAATACAAATATTTAGTAAGCAGATAATTATCTTTGAATCACTATCATGTCTTCTGTGACATTGTTTCAGCAACAACGAAGGCTACGAGAAACAATCTATTATTTTTTATCCACTGAAGTTGTAGATAGAAGGATACCTAAGTACTTAAATTTTAAATCATAGATATCAATGCCAATAAAATGTCTACACTCTTATAGCTAAGTCAATCAATGAAGGCTTTAAAACAAACAAAAAATCTTTTAAAAGACAAGTCTTGCTTATTATAAGTGTATGAAATATGAGATCTAAGATTTTGACTCATAAGTTCTGCTTACAATGCAGGTACTCACGCATAAATATCATCAATTGATATCATCAACTGATATGAAAATGTTACTCCTTGTTTCTTCTCTTGATCTACATAACTTCATATATGGAAGTGATAGGACATATAAATTCTCCAAAGTATTGTTTATCTGCTTTTGATGGATCTCATGATTCTTTTCACAATATCTTCTATCTCATGAGTTAATTGGGACATTGTTGCTTATTTATTTCTTGTTTTGTTCACACCATTACAAAAATACCTCAGCTCGATTTTTCTTACCCGAAAATAATTTTCATCTGGACATAGAGTAGCTCATACTCTCCAAGAGCATCCATAATATGAACATAAAGCAATTATGCGAAATCTATTGTTAGTTTGAAACTTCAACTCAAAGTTATTTTTAATTGCCGTAGAGCAGGTAAAGTGCTTGAAATTGTATGAATCGCGAAAATGAGCACCAACTTTCAAGTCATTATCACATACTATTTCTGTAATAAGTTATTCCTCATTGTAAATCTCTCTCTCTCTCTCTCTCTCTCTCTCTCTCTCTCGCGATATTCTCATTATAGTTAAAAGTAGATTATGTGCAATAATTATCCAGAATAGCACCACTAGTCTAGAGTTGTTGACCTTCAATGCACATCCCAAGATCTCTTTAATTTTGTGTGATAATCACTAGCTCCGCTCTGCCATATTCATTAGACCGAGCAATCATTTCCATAACTTCAACGTCACTAGTGAAAATGAATATAATCTTAGGGTAATGTTTCACTTTTATGATATTGCAGCTCAAATTCATATCCTTTGAGTCAATGACACATTACATCTGTAAATTCATCAAGCCCTTTTGAATTGTAATAATTTTCTAGCTTCCCACCATCGTATCTCATTCTTGGTTGGTTCTTATCTAAATACATTATAACCAAGAAAATTGGTCAATAATACCCTTCTCAAGCCCGAAGTGATAACCAAGAAATCGCACGGCACCTGGTCCTTATCTAAATACCTTATGGTATTTTCGTCATTTCAGCCACCCTAGATTAAGCCCCGCCCTCTTTTGCTCTCTAGCTTCTCTATTCCTCTGCACTGTTACAATGGCAGTGATGGCGGCGGCCGCGACGGCCGCGGCGGCCGGAGCATGCTTCTACCTATTTAATTCTGGCTCATCACGCGTATTCCTTCCCTGTCCATCTGCTTCTCTTAAGCTCTCTTCTCTCCCATCTGTCCGAAAGCTGAAGCTCTTCTTTCCGCACCGCCAATGCACCGCTGCGCAAGATACCGAGTTGGAGGTGAAGGAAGATCTGGAGCTGACTCAAGAATGGGAAGCTGGGGAATCGATCTTGCAAGGGGAGGCGAATCGGAGAAAGCTATACGTGGTGAACTTGCCGTGGAGCTACTCGGCTTCCGATCTTGAGAATCTCTTCGGGCAGTGTGGCGCTGTCGATTATGTGGAGGTGAACGAAACGAAACCCTAATTTTTTTTTTTTCTTAAAGATTTTAGGATGGTGCTTGTTTTTCTCACTTAAAATTGGTTTATGCAGGTAATTAAGATGCAGGATGGGAGGAACAGGGGACTTGCTTTTGTCACCATGGATTCACCGGAGGCGGCACAGGCTGCCATTGATAAATTGAATTCTTTTGTAAGGGATTTTTGGTTCTATTGTTGATTTAGTCTCTTTTGATTACCAATGGTGGATGCATATGCTATGTTTGATGTAGAATGGATTCAATTTTAGAAATAGCAATAACTTCCAAGTTCTTTTTCAAGGTTTAACGGTCTGAAATTGTGAAATATGGTTAGTGAGGTAAGCATAAGCTCTCTAAAAAATTATAGAAGAAACTCTTAGAATTAAATAAAATTCAGAAATATGCAATAAATCATAGATAATTTTACTGTTCATTTTCATAAACTATAAGATGAAAATAAATCTCAATGTTAAATGCTAATTTAAAGTGGAAGTGTAAAATATGATTTAAGATAAAGGCTCACTCAAGTTTTAAAAATGTCATGAGGATCATGTACACAATGATCTCATTTCATTTTTAGTATTTTTAGAAGAGTCCTCGCATGTAAGCGTTCTATCATTATGTCTCATTGTCATCTTCAAAATTTTCTTCAACCTTTTTTTCTTATGCCTTATAGCAATTATTATTGGTTTCGGGATGATTTCAACTAAAATAGCAAATAACTGACATAACTGAGTAATCAATTTTGATTAAATTACCTTAACTTTTTTGAAGCTCCAACCCACTTTGCTTTTTTTTACTTTGAATGAGTGTAAAATAAAAAAGCATTCAATTTAATAGCTTTTTAAGCAATAATATATTCATTCTCATCATCATTAATGAACAATAATTCATTTTTAACTTCAAACCCTTTACTATTTTGTGATTGTTCATTCTTCCTCAAAAGGTTATCACAACTTTTTGAATATTAACAAAGTTAAATAAGCTATGGTGAATCTTGTCGTAGCTAGTCGAATAATTTCTTTATCAGTATATTTTCCCTTTTATGCTCAAGACCTAAGAATTATTATAAATAAATTTGTTTGCTATTTTTATTTTGAGCAAAGTATATATATATAACCTTTTATGCTCAAAATTTGCTTGCTTGTATGTGTGTGTGTGTGTGTGTGTGTGTGTGTGTGTGTGTGTGTGTGTGTGTGTGTCTTGTGGCAATTCTCATAGTTTTCCAAGCATTAAATTAGGACAATAGTTAACATTTGGGGTTTAATATAGATGCCCCTTTTTCTTCATTAATATCCTCCCGAAGGCATTTACATAAAATACTCTCTAAAATCTTCTTTATGACTCCATTAGAAAGTCCAAAAATATAGTTTAAATCATTCATCTGATCCAATGCTTCAATAGACTTTAAAAAAAAGTGACGTAGAGATTGTTAACTAAATTATTGAGCAAGCTTTGATCATCAAACGTGATGATAACTCTAATCTATTTCCAAATTATTCTTATCTTCTTAATAAATTCTTAGTGCCATTCAATTTTTCCTTCAATTTTCAAGTCCTTAGCTCATACATAGGTGATGATATAAGGCCTCCATCATAGGAATCTATAAAATGGATATTAACATAAGATGAAGAGATTGACAGGTTACACCCTTTAAATAATCTTATCGCAATAATTAAACTTCAAATAGACATGCACTTATCACTCTCTAATTTTGATTTACTGTTATTTTCAACATTTTACAATGTTTTTAATGAGAAGGGAACCTCTACAGCTTTTTATTGAAAACTGATAAAATGAACGTTTTGCATACAATAGGTACATTGAAATGGTAATTTAAAAACTCTAAAGGAGTAACCTGCCAAAATAAAGTACTTTTTTATCTCTTTTTTAATTTTATTTTTCACTTGGGTTACATGTAGTTGTTAACATCAACAACTAAGCTTGGTTGTTTGTTTAGGAAATTCACATCAATGAAATGTTTTGATGTTTTTTGTTTGGGATAATTACATGCATAGCACTTGAAGCATTGCTTTTTTTACAAAACTAGCAAACTAGCACCCACATGATTTTTTGAACTACCAAACTAATGCATTTACACGTGCCACGATCAAACCATCAGGAATTTGATAAAAATGAAAAACATGGATTATGATTTCATTATAAATTTTGATATTTTGAGTGAGAATTCGAAAATGGATGAAAGAGGGTGCTAGTTTTGTAAATAGCAATATTTTGATCACTATGTATGTAATTGCCCCTTTTTGTTTTGCAAAGCCTAAAGATTACATAAATCATGCGTTATTAAAACTCAAAATAATGTGGTGGAATACTTAACATTTCATTGATATGAACGGGGTTATAAATAACCCTTACAAGAATCTTGTAATAGAAAAAATAATAAAATTAAATGATATGATAGGAAGGGTATAACACTTGATATCTCCAATAATTAATTTTTATTAATTATTATGAGATATAAGAAATAACGTAAAATATGAAAACAAATATCTCATTAATTCTAAGGAAATAATTTATTTACAGAAATAAATTATTTCCTATCATAACTCTAATTCTAAGGAAATAATTTATTTATAAGAATAAATTATTTCTTATCATAACTCCTAACACTCCCCCTCAAGTTTGGAATGTATGTTAACAATTTTTAACTTGTTGAGTAGTATCGAGAACTGAGAAGAGTTTAGTGGTTTTGTGAAAACGTCCGTTGACTGTTCTAAAATAGACACATGAGTCAACTTTATTATTCTTTTTTGAACTTTCTCACGTATGAGATGACAATCAATCTCAATATGCTTTGTTCGCTCATGGTATATCGGGTTCGAGGCGATGTGAAGTGTTGTTTGGTTATCATAAAATAAATTGGTAGGATGTGAATGCATGATCCCCAAATCTTGCAAAATTGTTCTTAGCCAAATAATCTCGCAGCAGATAGTGGCCATGGACTGATATTCAGCTTTTGCACTAGAGCGTGATACTGTGGTCTGTTTCTTGGTTTTTCAAGAAATTAATGAACTCCCAAGGAAGATACAATACTCAGTAACTGATCTTCGAGTGTCACGACACCTAGCCCAATCTGCATCACAAAAAACATTTAGTTGGGTTGAGCTTTCTGCCGAGAGGAAAATTCTTTATCCTGGTGTTTGTTTTATGTAACTTAGAATGTGATGGGTTGCTTCTAAGTGTGGCACTCGTGGTTTGTCCATAAATTGACTTAAGACATGAACTGCATATGTCAAGTCATTACGCGTGATAGTCAAGTAGATTAATCTCCCAACTAGTTTTCGGTATGATGATGCATCACTGACATATTCTCCCTCTGATTTGCTAAGAGATAAGTTTTGTTTCATAGGAAAAGTGGCTGGTTTTGCACCGAGGTACCCAACATCCTCGAGTATTTCAAGAGCATACTTTCGCTGTGAAAGCACAATACCCTTCTGGGATCGCGCAACCTCAATACCAAGAAAATATTTCAATTGTCCGAGGTCCTTTAATTTGAATTGGTTCTTCAAAAATATTTTGACATGTTCGATTTCTTGTAAGTCGTTCCCTGCAATGATGATATCATCTACATATATAAGAAGGACGATGAATTTACAATTCTGGGATCGGACGAACAAATAATAGTCTTTTTTATTGCATAAAATTGACTTGTTTTAGAGCGGTGGAAAGCTTGATGAACAATTGTCGTGAAGCTTGTTTGAGACCATATAATGATTTGTGGAGTTTACAAACTCGAGTCTCCCCCTTTCATCCTAGGTCAGGAGGTAGTGACATATATACGTCTTCATCGAGATCTCCATGCAAGAAAGCATTGTTGACATGTAGTTGGTGAAGATGTCATTGTTTGGTTGAAGTTAACGCAAGAAGTAGACGAACAGTTACAAGTTTTTTCTAAATGGGCAAAGGTTTCCTGGTAATCTAGCCTTTCAACTTGATTATACCCTTTTGCCACTAATCTTGCCTTGTAGCGTTTAACTGTCTCATCTGCACGAAGTTTGATTTTGTATACCCATTTGCATCCAATTGGCCTCTTTCCAGGCGATAATGGTACAAGGGACCATGTGTTATTGACGTTGAGTGCATCAAGTTCTTCTCGCATAGCAACCTGCCACTTTGGATTACGAGCGGCTTCTACAATGGTGCTTGGCTCCTTTTCAATTGAAAGGGCGGTGGTAAAAGCACGATCTTTAGGTGACAATCTAGCATATGACAAGACGTCGGTTAATGGATAGAAGGTACCTGTGATTTTGGCCAACACGGAGTTCGATGTTGGGGGGTGTCTTGAGAGAAGAGAATACCAACATGATACCCACACAAATAGCTAGGCGTTTTTGTTGCTCTTATTGGTTCTTATGATTGTATTTGTTTGTCTAGAGTTGCAGGTTGTTCTGAGAATGAATTTGAAGGTGAAGTAGTCTCTTGAGAGGGGATTTCGCTGTCTTGAAAAGATGAAATTTTCTTGAGGTAATTCATCGAATGAAGGCATGTCAGTGTGGGTGGTGAAGTGCGGAATTGAGCCCTTATCTGTCGCGAAAGAATGGCAAGGAAAAGTGATTTCATGGAAACGAATATCTCGTGATACAAAAACCTTCCCAGTTGAAAGGTCATAGACTCTACAGCCCTTTTGCGCGTAATGGATACCCTAAAAAAAGACATTGAATGGCTCTGGGATCAAACTTTTTTGGTCGCTGATGATGTGTTGAGACAAAACAAAGACACCCAAACACGCGCAAATGATCATATGTGGGTTTTTTTAGTAGAGCATTTCAAAAGGAGTCTTTCCTTGGAGAAGGGGTGTTGGTGTTCGGTTGATTAGATAGGTGGCAGTTAGGATTGCATCTTGCCAAAATTTTTTGGGTAAATTAGCATGAAACAATAAGGCTCGAGTTATGTTGAGTAAGTGACGATGTTTTCTTTCGGCTACACTATTTTGTTGCGGAGTGGAGACACAACTTGATTGGTGAATGATGCCTTTGTCGAGATAGAGATTCCTCAATATGAATTTAGGATCATTATTACTTCGAATCAATTTGACTTTTAGATTGAATTGTGTTTCAACAAGGTTTATGAACTTGATGATGTATGAATGTGTATCTGATTTATGGTTCATCAAATAAGTTCATATGCATCGAGTATAATCACAACAATTGTGAGAAAATACCGCGCTCCTGTGATTGAAGGAACTTGGTATCCTCCCCAAATGTCAACATGAATTAATTCAAAAGGTGTTTTTGAGCTAATGGAACTTGTTTGAAAAGATAAACGAGTTTGTTTAGCCAATGGGCAAATTAAACAATCAAAAATATTACAAATTTTCTTGTCTATAATTGGAAAAGGAAACAAGTTGAAAACTTTATTTGATGGTTGGCCTAGACTTTTATGTCAGAGATTTGGGAATGGTGAAGTAGCAACATTGCACTTGCTCTTTTGTGGAGTATCAAGGTAGTAGAGTCCTCTTTTAGTTCCCGTCCCAATCATCTTCTCCAATTGTTAGTCATGTAGCACACAAGTGTGTTGATTAAAAATGACAAGACATTGTGAATCAAGCACAAATTTGCTAATGAAAATCAGATTTAATTTGAATGAGGGGACACATAAAAAATTTTGTAGAATAAACTCAGCAAAATGGATGTTGCATATATGTGTGATAGTTGCAGTAGCCCCGTTTGGCAAGTGAACTTTTCGATTGATGACACATGATTTTGTAGTAAGTAGTTTGGTTGAATATATCATGTGATACGTGGTTCCTGTGTCAAGAATCCAATTTATTTCTTTGTCAAAAACAGAGGCACAAGATTTTACCTGAGATATCACTCATGGTTGATGTACTGTCAACATGATTAGCCATCGAATTAGATTTTGATTTGTTCTCTACAAGTAGCGATATGAGGCTTTGATATTGTTCGGTTGTAAGGGTGGATAGTACAGGACTCGTCAATGTATTGGTATCTGCATGGTTGGCTTTGGGAGCAAATTTTTTTCGTTCAGATTTATTGCCCACTGGATTGGTCATTTGCAGCTTCCTACAGTCATTGATAGTGTGTCTCTGTCATTCACAATAATTGCATTTGAGATGTGCTCGGCATGTGTCTGAGGTATGCCCAATTTTGTCGTATTTTCCACATTTTAAATGAGGATTTTTAGGCGTGAAAATCTTCTCTGGTTTTCGTGCATTATTCTTCACGGCAAAAGTTGAAGCTTCCGGCTGCGGCGCATTTACATTGTTCATGTCGCGCTGCTTTTCCTCTTAGAGCGCGAGAGAATGTGTCTTGCTGACATTAGGAAAGGGATCCATGAACAAAATTTATCCTCTTATACTAGCGTATGTTTCATTAAGCCTCATGAAGAATTTCATCATTTTCTGGTTTTGTTGAAACTGCATCACTTCCTTCATGACACCACACGTGCACTTAGGAATGTTATGGAGGGAGTCACGTTCGTCTCATAGGCCTTTGAGCTTGGTGTAATAAGCTCCAACTGTCATATCGCCTTGCTTGCAATCATGGATGGCTTCTTCGACATGGAAAATATGAACGTTGTTGGTACGAGAAAAACTTTCCTTCAAGTCGAGCCAGATTTCATGGGCACTCTCGTTGTATATTATACTTGTTCCAATGTCTTCTGCAATTGAATTAAACAACCATGCCTTTATAAGGTTGTTGCACCGCCTTCATTGTTGAAGTTTTGTGGTGAACTTCTCTGGTGGTTCTTTGACGGTGTCGTTGACAAAACGTTCTTTGTTTTTAATGTTGAGAGCCATCAACATGGCACGACTTCAGGAATTATAGTTTTCTCCATTCAGCGGCTGCGTAACAAGCACTAGATCGGGTTGATCTGAGTAGTGGAGATAAAAAGAGTCGTTTGATTTATCAAATTTGCTAGATTCAGACTTTGCTGAATTTTGTGTTTTGTCTGCCATGTGTTTTAGCTTAGAAAGAAGATAGATGAGGTTTTGGCGTGGAAGAGGAGATAGTAAGACTAAGAATCGTGTTTGCTCTGATACCATGTTAAAACTCAAAATAATGTGGTGGAATATTCAATATTTCATTGATATGAACGGGGTTATAAACAACCCTTACAAGAATCTTGAATAGGAAAAATAATAAAAGGAAATGATATGAAAAGAAGAGTATAACACCTGATATCTCCAATAATTAATTCATATTAATTATTAGGAGCTATAAGAAATAACGTAAAATAGGAAAACAAATATCTCATTAATTCTAAATAAATAAATAATTTACAAGAATAAATTATTTCCTATCATAACTCTAATTCTAAGGAAATAATTTAATTATAAGAATAAATTATTTCCTACCATAACTCCTAACATGCGTCAATTGAATTTTGACATTAATGCCTATTATTTTCTTCATTAATTTCCATTTTTTTATGAGTTCGGTTGTTGAGATGTGTATACCTGCATTTTTTTATCAACTTTTTTCTTTGAATTTCTAAATATAGTTAAACATATTGCAGGAGTTAGCAGGAAGGATTATTAAAGTTGAACTAGCAAAGAGTTTCAGTAAACCCTCACCTAAAAAGCCTCAACCGATTACCCCGGTGGGAGAAACAAGACACAAGATCTATGTAGGAAATCTTCACTGGAAAGCAAGAGCAGGCAATCTTAGAGAATTCTTCTCTACCAAATTTAAGCCAGTTTCTGCTAGAGTTGTCTTCGAAAACCCATCAGGGAGGTCTGCTGGGTATGGATTTGTTTCTTTCGACACCAAGCAAGAGGTGGAGACTGTTATTTCTGAATTGGATGGGATGGTAATGTTAAACTTTAACCACAATTAGATCTTTTATTTTCTGCTCAATTCTTCTATTTATGCTCTGCTCCATTTAGTTAAAACCGAAAAATTGAACCATACCGAGCACAATCGGTTGATTCAATTCGGTTTTGAAGTAGTGATTCAGTTCTTTTGCTTTAAAATTTTTAACATTCGATTTTTAGTTTTCAGATTGGTTTTAATATTCATTAAACCAAAGAAATCTAAAAATTGGATAATAATAGGATTAGAAAATTAAATTCATCTTAAAAATAAGAAAAGATTGAATATATGACATTTATTTTTGTTTATTTTTAATTTTTTAATTTTAAGGAGATGGCGAGAAGAAAAAGAAAAAGAAAAAAAAAATTAATTTTGAAATAGAACATTAAGTTTTAATTATTTCGGTTTGAAATAAAACCAAAATGCTAAATTTTAGTTTTCATCCAAAACGAACTGATTAAACAGAATTATATTTCGGTGAGATTTGTATTGGTTTTAGTAAAAGCTTAATCTTTTCTGTTTTTTGAATTTCTGATTTTGGTTTTATTCGGTTTGCCTAATTTGTAAACCAATACATCCAAATTAACCGTTTGCACACTTCTACTGGTTAAGTGATTAATTTGGTATTATTCTCATAAATATTAATATGATTTGCAGTAACTGACCATTATTTTCTCTTTTGTCAATGTTTGTTGATGTCGATCGATTGATTTCTGTTCTTCATTGCAAGCGTCCTCATTATTTCATAGAAAATTTTGCCAAGAAATGCTTCTAATGTATGTTTGATATGTTCTTATCCATATTGATGTAGATAACACTGTTATTAAATGAAGTGTTTTTGATTTAGTGATATCTTATTTAAAGAATGCAGTTCTATATCTAAGGATTCATGGTTCATTTACTAATGTTGTGTATGTGGCCATCAAGCTTTTGGTCATCCAGTTTATGAATGTTATTCAAATCATTTCAATGTAACAAAGAGCATAAAGTAAAGGGAAATTTACAAAGATACCACACAATTCTTATGCATTTACAAATCTAACACCTGAAATTTGCTATTTAAATTTGTAACACCCTGTTAGTAAAAACCTAGTATGAAAGGTGAATTTCACTTTTAAAAACTTAGTGATGGTGATATTTTTGATGTGATATCAAATAATTGAGTGATATGTATGTATGTAAATATGACAGTTTAGGTTTTAGATATGTAAATATAGAAGAATTGTGTGGCATTCATATAAATGCCTATAAACTAATATTGTGCAACTTATAGTCCCCGCTCATTTAATGATGCTGATTTCAACTCATCGTGCCCACAACAGGAACTAATGGGAAGACCTCTCAGATTAAGAGTTAGTCAAAAGAACGGCAATGAATCTGAAACTAGACAAGAAGACTCAACTCAAGGGCATTTTGAATGATCCTGAAACCTATTGTTGCAGCACTAGCGTATTTTGCCAGCGAAGGTTAGTTTTGTAAAAATGAACTTGCCATGCAATTTTCATATTCTACTTGCTTGGCTCAACCTAGCTCTTTGTGGCAATATGGCTTTGAATATCTTATCAATATGAATTGTGCATGGTACATTATTTTTACAATTTAATCCTTGGTCGAATGGAGATTGTCAACTTCTTTATATGAGTAGATGGTAGATGAAACGGTAAAAAGCTTCTTTAATCTAGAACTATTATTGAGATTTCATCCTTCGGTTCATTTTTAATGTATTTAAATTTTATCTTATTTTAGTCCAATTTTAAATAAACTACAGGTGTGAAGCTCCACTCCCCATTGCCGCCGCCCTTTGCGAGGCACCCCAGTCTCCCCTCCACCACTACCACCAAACACCCTGCCCATGTTGCCTGCACCCTGCCACTAACCACCACTCACCGTCGCTTTGACCATTAGTTCATTTTCAATGTTTTTTTTCTTGCACTCAAACAATAACTCTTGAAGTATTTCAAATGCAATAAATTTATTTTGCACTGCAATAAAGTCTAAAAAATTTAGAATTCAAATTGGTTGATTGTAGTGGAGGAATGCCTCGGACCTATTGCGAGATAGAAAAGTACCGTTTAGATTGAAAGGAAACTTTTATAAGATGGTGATGAGACCTACAATGCTCTTTGACACTGAATGTTGGTCTTAAAAGAGAATCATAAAACTAAGTTAAGTGTTGTCGAGGTTAGAATGTTTAGGTGGATTAGTGGCTTTACACTTATAGACAAAATGCAAAATGATTATATCTGTGATAGGGTTGATGTAGCTCCAATGATGTAGCTCCATAGGGTTGATGTAGCTCCAATGGTGAACAAAATTAGAGAGAGTTGTCTTAGATGGTTTGGTCACGTTAAACTTTGACCATCTAATGATCCGATTACGAGAGTAGATGTTTTAAATTTGACTTATGTAATTTGACTTATGTTGTTAAGAAAGGCAGAGGTAGAACTAGGAAGACTTGGGCATTTTGTATAAAAATGATCTTAATTTATTAGAATTAAATGAAAATATGACACTCAATAGGACTCAATGGAGAAAAAGGATTCATGTTGCCAACCCCACTTAGTGGGATAAAAGCTTGTTGTTATTGTTGTTGTTGTTGTTGCAATAAAATCTAAAAATTTACCCAAACTGCTCCTTAAAAAAAAAAACTTTTTATCAGGCATATTTAAAAGGATTTGTGGTGTTTAAAGTATTAAAGGATTTCCCGATTTAAAAAAAAATGAATAGATGAATATTCTAATATCTTTATTAGCTGCTATTGTCTTTAAGTTAACACATTATTAGCTACTATTGTCTTTATTGTATGACCTGCACTGTAGCTACTATTGTCTTTATTGTATGACCTGCACTGTATCTCAAGTCTCAACGAGTTATTAAGTGATGTGATGAGAACCCTTGAAGCTTTGAACTTAACTTATGAAAGTTCCAAACAAACCAAACCGTTTAGTTTGGTTCAATTCCCTCTATTTTAAAACATAAATTTGTTACAATTCATTTATTATTTTAATTTAATTTGATTTGCTTCACCTTGGTTTTAAATATCTTCAAAGGTTTTGCCCAATTTAGTTTGATATATCTGTTCTAAATTGATGGATAATAAAAGAATCTATAAGGTTTTTTAATATTTTTAAAAAGTTTTATTATCAATTTTGTTTTAGATTTAACCTGTGTTCATTTTGGCTAACAGTGTGTTGAAATTTGGCATCCTCAATGGGTATTTATATATATAACTACTTAGAAAATAATTAAAGTTATTAATTATAAAGAATTTAAAAGTTAAAAATGTTATCTAACTCTGTGGCCTATGGGATGAGTGAGCAATACACAGCTCTCCTAATTTCTTGGTAAGCACATGAAGCCAGGGTACTCGTTTTTTTATATTAAGCTTATAAAAATGTGGTAAAATAATTTTTCTTTTTTATTTTTTGAATTTTAATGCTTTCAGCACTCTGTCTCAAATTAAGTTCCTTTAAGATTTTTTTTAATGCAGATTGTAAAATCCTTTGGTAATTATGTAGTTGAGTTAACTTCTTGTTGGAGCATATGGAGTGCCAATTCATGCACTTCATAATTTCTGTTTGATGAAATATTTATCTTTCTCCACATATTTGGTTTGATTATGTTTAGTCGAGTTGACTTATTGTTGGAACATACAGAGTGTAAATTAATGTGTTTTTTTATTTTCTCTTTGATAAAATATTTTTCTGCCTCTATATATTTGGTTCAATGATTGTGCATTGGAATGTTGACAACATTGATGGCATGCTCATTGTCACAACATATCTACATAGGTTATTTTCATTTTATTTGTAAATTTTCTATTATATTCATAGAAGTTTACAAATGCCTTTAGTGGTTGCTTTAAATTCAAATCAACACTTTAGCTTATGATAATAGGTTATTTTTTGCTCGATGTTACCCAAATTTCATCCTAATTGTGTCTAATATTGTGAAGTACATTTTTTATCCACTATTGAATTGTTGGTCGACATCAATGTAACTTTCAATATTCCTAAAGAATTTTAATTGTTTTATTTACTCCTATAAAATATGTGAAAGTTAGGTTTCGGATTCGAGAAAGAAGATTGGCATTGCTAAGATGATTCGTCATCTTTGCCTCTCAATGAAAGAAGAACTTGAGTGACAAATATGAAAAAAAGCATACATAGGTTTGTTTGGGGCAACTGCAACTTATCAGTTTATCAACGAAGCTTAGCTGCCCCAGTAAACTGCTGCGGGAAAGCTGACAGCTTGTTTGTTTTTTACAGTTTGAAAACAGCTTTGTGGCAACTGTTTCTGAAAAAAAGACAATTCTGCCCCTGTGTAGTAATCTTTTCTCTTAAATGATAAGAATTTCATCATGTTATGGTATTATTTCTTCGGTCATCCAAATTTATAGATTCTCACCATCTTTTTCAGATAAAACATTGGCTCTTATCAAAATAAAATTTGCTAGTTATCCAAAAACACAGTTTTAACTCTTTCTCTAATCACTCGTACAAACCAACACATCATTTTTCCTGGATCCATACTAGTTTGTGGGTGCCATTTAGGGACAATAATATCATCATTTCTATATAGTTTGCTATTTTCATTAATAATTACTCTAGGATCATATGGTTGTTCCTTATAATGATGAATATGATGCCGGAATTATTTTTTTCCAAAATTTCACTAAGATGATTAAAATTTAGTTCTAAGCCAAAATAACGACCTATGTGAACACTATCGTTACCCTTAGATGGATCTTACTTCTTGGATCAAGATATTGTTAATCAAATCATATGTCTTGATACTCCACAACAAAATGGAGTTAACGAAGTGGCTTGATCCATAATCATGCCTACTTCACTTCTATACTATAAGTCTGAACTCCTTACTTAAGTCTCCCTCCGGCCTAATATATCGGGTTGAATACATGTTACAAAATTATTCAACAACTTGAACTCTGCATCCGATAGCTATATTTTTTGAGGACTTCCATTTGATTTCAACTTATATCTGCTTGTCTTAAAAACCAACTTTGGATGGGGTTTATTATGATCATTTTAGTCTTGAATGAATTTGATTTGGAAGATATTGGGTGTAAAGTTGATCTCTAAGGGTCTGTTTGGGGCAGGTGCGACTTATCCAGCTTATCCTGATAAGCAGCTTATCCTGATAAGCTACTGATCAATAGTTTGTTCTGTTCAGCTGGTTGACTGTTTGGTTTGAGCGTTTGGAAAATATTTGATTTGCAGTTGTTTATAGATAAATGACTATTCTGCCCTTGAACTGAATAATTTGTTAAGTTGTTTGGTTTGTGCGGTTCAAAAAAAGCTGATTTGCAACTATTTGTGAAAAAACAATCATTTTGGCTATGCGCAGAGCAACAATAACGTAATGGGAATACATTCAATATTCTAAAATCCAAGAAACACTACATAACTGCAAGAGTGAGTATCTAGGAACCTATTAAAAGACAAAAAACATAACAAAATTACAACTAAAATTATGTTAATATTCATTTTAAAATGTAGAAAGGGCATGTCTGGAGTAACGTTGATAGATCTTCTCATATGGTTGAAGTTTCATTTCCGAACAAACGAAAATTCAAAATAACATTGCTCGTCCTTCTTCTCCTAATGTTTCACAAAGCTATTCTACATCCCCTTCTTCTTCCCCTTAGAAAAGTAAATTGATATTCATCTTTTAAATTCAAAAGAAGAAAACGTTGTTTAAGATGAAAGTATTTGGCAAGATGCAAAGGAAAAGAGGAGAAATTTTGAGCCTAAATTTTTTATCTCAAAATTGTTCAAGATAAGGATACTGAAATAAAATTATTTTACTTCTTGTTACAGTAATGTTGAAATTATAGCTTTTTTTATATGACAAGCTAGATCACCTCTAAGAGGTTGTTAAGACCTTTATAGACTTTGCACAGAAATTTGATAAGGATATCCTTTGATTATGCTCCAAAGCTTCTCACTCATATGAGTATTCACAAGCCATTGAAAAATTTTTAATCTGCCTTGAATTCTTTGGACTGTTTCCTGAAATGTTTGCTTCTTAAATTTTGCCCTTTGTTTTTCATGGAATAGGAGTTTTCTAAACAACATATTTTTTCAAATTTCCCGGCCGAAGTCCTCAATGTCTAAGCTCTTGGAATTTTTATAAAGACATTTATCCATCGAGGGTAACTCGTTTCTGTCTACTTTTCATCACAGTGAGCGAGGCAAATGGAAGCGGAATTAAAGCCTATAGCTTTCAAAATCAGCAACAATTGAATTACTGAAAAGTGTAAAAACACGCCGAAAAAGTAGTTGGTTTTTTTTAGGCTAAATGCAAAACATGACGTTTCCAAATAAATAATTTATCTGGATAAGCACATGCTACCCCAAATGCACCCAAAGGTTTTTAAAAAAAATAAGATAGCAAATGCATCAAAATTGTAGCTTGGTCGCAATATTGGTGAAGAAGATAATGGGTCTTCACAAAAAATGCAAATACTATAAATAACAATCCTTCAATAATATAATACATATATATATATATATATATATATATTAATTTTTGATTGTTAGCTGAAATAAAAAAATTTTGATTATTCCTAAATAATATATATATATATATATATATATATATTTATTTATTTATTTATTTATTTATATGTATATATGGCATTTTTATTATGAGAATAATGGGATACTTCCTTTTCACTTCTAGGCGTAAAACCATAAAAACATTTGGCTTACAAATATAACCACAGCTGATCAGAATCCATGATAAATGTCAAGTATTAAAATGGTAGATATGCAATAATAATAATAATAATAAAAAAAGGTTAACAGATCATAATTAATTTTGGCACAATGGAGTTTACATTCAACTTTGCCTGACATTTTTTAGTATTCAAATTTTATACGGATTAACATAATTCGAATGTTTAGTATTCTAATTATACAAAGCAATGAAGTTTTAACCACTAACAATTATATTAAACAATATCAAGCTGAATTTAAAAGCAGACTTCTGTTATTCATCCCAAACATTTGGTTCATCAATTTCGACCGGTTCAAATAAAGGATTATACAGATATCTGACAATTATAAAAAAATTTCTAAAATTAATCACAAATCTTTTAAAGCCTTTTATTTATTATTTTCTTTCATTTTATTTTTTTTTTAAATATATTTATTTAATGCATTTTGTATATATTTTAATCTTTTATTTTTAAGAACAAATTAAGTTATTATCAACTCAACATTTACGATTTATTTTGAATCTTTTAGAAATAATTAATTGTATCATAGCATGCCAAATAAATTTTATTTCAAATAAAAATATAAATAAAATTAAAATCTAAATCTAAATTGATTCCAAACATCCCCTTAGCTTTTGCATATTTATGAAAAAAGATTACGACGTTACCATGGAAATAGAGCATCAAAAGTAGACGACATACGCAAATCATTAAAATCAATTTAAATTTTAAACAGTAAACACCAATAAAAAACTATTGATCATTCTTTTTAGATGTATATATACATATATGCATACCACGAAATTCATAAGATTAATATATTTTAACACCTAAACTTCAACTTTAACCTACATGAAATCATGCATTTCACTTTCAATAGTTAAAAATGATGATATTTCAATATGATATGAAAGAAATATAAATTGGGAGATATGAAATGTAAAAAAAACAAAAAGGTATTAGATATATATAAATAAATATAAATTGGGAGATGCATGTAAATGCCCCATAGAGGGGAGAAATTATTTCATACGGAAATGCATGTGGTATCTGATCTCCATCATTGATCATCGCAATCAAAATTTAAAAAAAAAAAAAGTTGAAAGTAGTTGAAAGTAGAGCCCACTGAAAATACATCTGTAGAGATCGGACACAGCATGCATGTATAGCAGAGAGAGAGAGCACAGCAATCAGCAGAATGAAAACCTATTTTATAAAAATTTTAAAAGACCGTACAAAGCATTCCAATTCATCTTACATATACATTTGTGCTCCGTATATCCTATGAAAAAAAATATTCAAATAACAAACAATTTAATAGCCTTCCTTCAGATCAACAGTCCATGCTGCGTTGGCGCCAAAATCTGACTACTCATTATTCGTTACTGATATTGTATGAAATTGTCGCCTTTGATGTCAATCATTTATCATATCATTCTTACAAATTACAAACATTCCCCACTCAATTCCTATGTATCTACATATCTAACAAATAAACTTCCATTTTGACCTTGTAAGAGGTAAACTAATGTGGTCTATGTTATGTGAAATGAATCTTTAATGTGCTATAAATACATAGACATAGAAATTGAACTGGGTGTATGTAAATGCCTCAAATTATAAATAAGGCGTGTGAAATAATTAAGGATATGACCTTTTTCCCCAAGCAGGATAGAACCGCAGCAGCAGCTGATATTGGCCTCCAGGCTGCAAAACCTGGAAAGCAAAATAAAGAGACTAGCATGAAATAATGTTCAAAAGCAACGCGTAACAACCCATTGAAAAAATGTTTTTAAAGTAAATTTTTATTTTCAACCAGCAGGTAGAATGTTATTGATGGATATTAGAGCGGTTTGTTTGAATTTTTTTTTTTCCAATATAATTTTATGGATTTAAAACATGATGAAAAATTCATTGAAAAAACAGCATTTGATGCCAATATTCAAATATATATATATATATATATATATATATTATATATATATATATATATATATACATTTTAGTATTGTGGTAATTTATAGAAGGATTATTCTTATAAGGCAAATACAAAAATTTCATCAATATTAAAAGATCAATAACGACAACAAATCTTTATTCCACTAAAGTGTGGTCAGCTACATGAATTATTTCTCTCCATTGTGTCCTATTGTCGGTCAACTTTTTTTTCTTTGAAAATATGATTTAGTTTAATATGTATACAATGTTGATTTTTGAAAATAATGCTTTAATTTTAAAAAATATGAGACCGAACGAATCCATATATCTAGTATTTTAAACGATTGAACACAACACCATAAGTAATTCATCACATCAAGATATTGACATACTACGTGACGGCGGGCTCGATTGTATAAACTAAGAAATATATGACATTCGTTTGGTGTGCGAACATTTTATGTGTGCACCTAATATAAAGATTATGTAGGGTTGAAATCATATCTTGGTGGGTCCCCCTATGAACTTCATTTAGTTTGACTTGAAAGATTTTGTTTTGAGGATGATTTACCTCAACAAGTCGTAGCAAGCCCAAGTATCCTATAAAATGTCCCAAGGTCTTACAAAGGTGTTTGGCGTAACCCTAAACAACCTTCGAACCCCTCAGGCCGTTTCAATATCCTTTGGCTTTGCTAAGTCGTTGAGTCGATCAGCCCAGTCATCTTAGGAATCTTTTATACTTTCACTGCCCGTGAGTATCACAAATGGTCAGTTTAAGAGTTATGAGAGTAAACACCTCACATTTCAGTTGGGCTTGAACTGGTAGTGTTTTAAGATGTTTCATGTTCATTTATGATGACTTGAATTCTTTTCTTTCTTCCTCAAATATGTTAGATCAGAACTAGCTCACTACCAAGCTCTTAAGGTAAACACCTCACATTTTTAATTTTGCTCGACTTCTATGAATTCAGTGAACTCAGAAAACTCGATTTTACAATTTTATGATTTTTATTTTACTTTTTAGAATTATTCAACCAAACAAGAATGAAGTTCATAAAAAATGAGAGTTTTGACATTAAGAATGTTTTCTGACTTTGGAAAAATCAGAAAACATCCCTAATAACATGTTTATTAAACCCTCAAAATTTCAAATCAAGAAGAGCACTAATCATTTTTTTTATGATTTAATTATGTTTCGAAGATATTAATTAATGTAGAACAGAATAATAAACAAATGTTGTCAAAATTTGGTTCATAATGTTCTTCTTTGTTTACTAAGCACGGGGGTATCTCTTTTTTATTTTTATGAATTCTTCACACCAACATATGATTTTTAAAGATCAAATGAGTTTCTGGATTTAGAGTCTATTTGGGGTAGCTGTAGTTTATCTAAGCTTATTCAAATAAGCAGCTTATATTGATAAAATGTTGATCTGCAGCTGATCCAGATAAGTTGACTGACTGTTTGGTTTGTACGTTTGGAAAACAGCTGATTTGCAGTTGTCAGTTGTTTCTTGTTTCTGGATAAATGATCATTCTGCCCTGATCTGAATAAACTGTCTAACTCTTTGGTTTGTGGTTTGGAAAACAGTTGATTTGAGAGATTAAATTATATAGCATATCAACATAGCACTAAGATTTTTCATCTTCAACAAAAAAGAGTGTCGATAGTTTGATTTTTTTGATCTGTCCTTGAAGTAATCAAGATGAGATGCATAAGGTCTTTTAGCTATATCTTATTTATATTTCTTTGTATCGTTGTGACCAGCTTATAGCATACATCTGATTCCTTTCTTAAGATCACTACAAACCCATAAAATTCAAATCATAGCTTGTATCAAACAAAAAACAAAACTCTTAACATTAAGCTAAAGAATAAATTTTTCTATCAGGTGACCTAGGTTAAACTTCTACATCTGATTGTAAAATCTGAAAAGTAAGGGTGAAGAAATGAGTAAACCAAAAGAAGATTAAAAAAAAGATTTCGAAAAAAACAAATTCTTAGAAATGTAAACTCAAGTTCTTTTTCTGCACAAGATATGCAAACTTTCATGCATTCCCACAAATCATGGTTGCTCATTGGTAATGAAGAAGAAACATTACATAGCTATATAGAATGGAGAATCATCTAACAAAGAATTTAACGGCAAAATCCTAATCCCCTAACTCAATTAATGATCCGAAGGAAGATGTTATAAGATAATAAAGAAAACAAAACTATATGGGAGAATAAAAGAACTACCTTCGTCAGCGGCGGCAAGGCTACCAACGGCGCCATCTCCTCCGACGAACCAGAGAATGGAGGACGCAATTGCAATAAAAATTTTTTTGCTCTACAACACTCATGAGCTGAACGTGATTGGGAAAAGACGTGCGATCATGCATCGGGGAACTCTTTTGCTTGCAATTTTTCTTGCAAAATTATAAGAGCGCAATACCGCGCAGTGTTTAGAAATTGGGATGGACTAGCAAAATTGAGATCGGCGAGGGAGGAGACGAAGAGAATAAGCGCATGGAACGAAAATTTCACCCGAACGCAAATTCAAGACATGGGACACGGGGTCGATCTAGTGTCACCGTCTATTAAGGATCCCAAAACGACGATTTGGAATAAACTATCCGAACGTGTGAACCAAACGGCAAAGCGGCGTTTTGAAAACATCAGACGCACTAATAAGATACCCTAAGCAGACCCTTAATTAAACCAGAAAATTAGATCTGTTTAACCAGAACCATCCATGCAAAAACGTCAAGATATCGACAAATTTAAAACAAAATCGAATGTCGTTTGTTCGAGCACGATCATCTAAATCAAACGCACCTATCTGTAAGATTAAGGATCTGTTTAGGGCAGCTTATTAGTGCGAGCAACATTTTCAAATTGTGGTCATGTCGTTTGGTTTGCACATTCGAATAGCTTATTCTAAATCTTCGTTTTAGGATCCTTAATAGATGGGGACGTGAGATCGACCCCACGTCCCGCATCTTGAATTCACGTTCGGGTGAAATTTTCTTCTCGTGACATTTTCCTCTCTGGCTCCTCCCTCGCCGATCTCAAGTCCGCTAGTCCATCCCAATTTTTAATATGCGCGCGCCAATGTACGCTTATAACTTTGAAAGAAAAATTGCAAACAAAAAAATTCTTCGATGCGTAATCGCACGTCTTCTCCCAATCGTGTTTAGCTCATGAGTACTGCAGAGCAAAAATGTCTTAATCGCCCTTATCGTCCTCCATTCTCTAGTTCGTCGAAATAGATGACGCCGATGGTAGCTCCGCCGCCTACAAAGATTATCTCATATAGTTTTATTTTCTTTCTTATCTTAAAACGTATTCCTTCGGATCATCGATTGAGTTAGAAGATTAAGATTTTGCTGCTAAATTCTCTTTTAGGCGATTCTTCATTACATCTAGCTATGAAGTATTTCTTCTTCATTACCAATGAGCAATCGGGATTTGTGAAAATGCATGAAAACTTGCATATCTTGTGAAAAAAAAAAATAGTTTACATTTCTCACAATCTTTTTTTCTCTGAATCTTTTTTTAAATCTTATTAATCTTCTTCTTTTGGCTTTCTCATTTATTTACCCGTACTTCTTAAACTTAACAATCAGATGTATAAGTTTAACCTAGACCACTTAATAGTTAAATTTATTCTTTAGTTTAATGTTAAAGTTTTGTTGTCTGTGTGATGCAAGTTATTATTTGAGTCTTATAGGTCTGTAGTGATCTTAAGCAAAGAACCAGATGTACGCTACAAACTTGTCACGTCGATATAAAGAAATATAAAGAATAAATGACTAAAGAATCTTATGCATCTCATCATGAATACTTCAAGGACAGACTAAAACATTCAAACTATCGGCGCTCTTCTTTGTTAAAGACGAAAAATCTTAAAAGTATGTTGTATATGCCACATAATTTTATTTTTCAAATCAGTTGTTTTTTAAAAGCACAAACCAAACAGCTAGACAGTTTATCCAGACAATGAGCAGAATAATTATTTATCTAGAAACAGTTGGAAATCAGTTATTTTTCAAACGCACAAACCAAGCAGTCATGCAGCTTATCTAGATCAGCTGTTAATCAACAGCTCATCAGGATAAGTTGTTTATCTGAATAAGCTGGCTAAGCTGCAACTGCCCCAAACAGACCCTAAGTGAACATCAAAGTATTTGTTTTGTTTTGCAAAAATAAAAGAAAGGAGAGCAAAAGGTCAATCAGATATGGTAAACATGTGATAATCATTTCCTTTGCCAAAAATAAAAAAGAAACAAAACGACAATGTGTTCATGCAATGTTTATTCCTTTTACAAAAAGTAAAAGAAAACGAGGCAACAACGTATGCATGCAAAGTTTTTTTTTTTAATATAAACGAAAACGAAGCAAAAAAGGTGAGTTCTGAGATTATACCAAAGGCCAAGAGGTTTGGCCTTGAATAAGTAGTTGTAGAAGATGTTGGACGCGAGCATTCATCTAATATAAACGAAAACGAAGCAAAAAAGGTGAGTTCTGAGATTATACCTAAGGCCAAGAGGTTTGGCCTTGAATGAGTAGTTGTAGAAGATGTTGGACGCGAGGATTCATGTCCGACTGCGATGGATCCCTGCGAAGGAATCGAGAATGTTGCTGCCGAGAAAAAAAAAATTTTTTTTTTTTTTGGGTTGTGTATGTCTCTGCCCTTTCTCCTTTTGGGTTGTGTATGTCTCTGCCCTTGTCTCTGCCCTTTCTCCTTTTTTTTTTAAAGTTGAAAACCTTTCAAATCATGCGTTTTCGGGCCAAATAAGGAGAGGAGCTCCTCTAATTAAATACGGGAAATAATTAGCAAGTAATAATGTTGAAATCCCCGCCAAAATGCAGCCAAAATTTTGAATTTCAAACTTAAAAACATGTATCAAGTAGTATTATCTTTGTATTTTGGTATTATTTGGATTAAAACGGCGGCAGGTATTATTTGGGGCGGTATTATCATTGTATTTTTGTATTATTTGTGTTAAAACGGCGGCTGATGTTATTTGGGGTGGTATTATCGTTGTATTTTGGTGTTATTTGGGTTAAAACGGTGGCTGATGTCATTCAGGACGATATTTCGGGTGTGTTGCGAGATTATTGCGTGATTTAATCGGCATGGGTGTATTGCCGATTTTTTGGAGTCTTGTGGTGTTATTTGACGGGACTCAACCTCAAAGCGGTGTTATTGCGGTGTTTTTGGTGTTATTTTATGGTGTTATTGCCCAGAATTTGGTGTTATTGAGCGTAACTTTATGTTATTGAGGGGTTTTATGGTGTTATCTGCCCGTATTTGGCCCGAATCAAACTCAATCCTAACATAGGCTCTTTCCTAATTCAATTTGGCTTTTGTAGTCACGGTACAAGGCAATTAACGGATAAGGGAAAAAGAACTCTTATTTCTTTGATTTTAAATTTTGTGCATTGATTATCATGTAATTTGCTCGGGTGCAGAATCATAGCAAGATGGGTATCTTTCCAATGTAAAATTGACATTCCGGACGGGCTCGAGCAGTCTCTTTCGACATCCAGCGTCCGAACAAGTTCGTCGACGAGCAGCCAATTTAAGTGATAATTCGCGTCGTGAGAATTTTCAATTTGTTTAAATTTGATCTTGGTGTCAGTTAGTGAATTGTGTGTGAATTATGATGTATATGTGTATGAATGTTGAAATTGTGATCTTCATGAGCATTCGAGTCACAAAGGGTTTCACTAAGGCATTTAAATCATATGAGAACTCATTTTGGGCCCTCCACATGTTGGTCCTTAGCCTTTGTGATTAAGAGTTGAACGATTGGGACCACTTATGTGAGGTTTTCATAAACATGAATCGAAAAAATTGTTTGAAGTCCTATGTAAGGTGGGTTTCATTATTAGTCCTCTACGATAGTAAATAGAAAAGCCCTAAGGCTAGATCTTAAGCTCTAAGAAAAAGAAACCAAGATCTCACCAAAAATGAGGTCACACCTATTGTTATATTTTTCTTTAATTCTAATAAATTGAGATTATTTTTTATAAAACATGTCTAGGTCCTTTGAGGTTTACCTCTATCTTTCTTAACAAAAATTGAATCTAAAACATCTACTCTCCTAAAAAAGTCATCAGCTAATTGATGTTTAATGTGCCCAAACCATCTAAGATGACTCTAATTGCCTGCCACTGGAGCTACACCAATCCTTTCACGGTTATATTCTTTTCACATTTTGTCTCAATTAAAAGCCACTAATCCACCTAAGCATTCTCGTCTCAGCAACACTTAGTAGTTTTATGCTTCTCTTTTATTGGCCAACATTCTGCACCATAAAGCATTGTATAGGTCTCATCAATATCTTATAAAATTTTCCTTTTAAAGTCTAGGCGGTGCTTTTCTATCACACAATAGACCTGATGCATTCTTCTACTTCAACCAACCAACTTAAATTCTACTAATAACATACCCATCAAGATCACCATCACTTTGAATAATAAACACGAGATATCTAAAACATTCACTCCTTTTTATGTAAATTTGATTTTATGTCAGCAAGATCAGCTGTCAAGACAATTTTCATATTCAAACAATTAATTAAATATAGAAAAAGGAAAACCATTGTTTGGGACCTAAACACTAATGAACAAGCATGCATGCAAAACAACGATTAATACATAGGTTTTTCACATACAAATAAATATTAATTTATGAAATGCATGCAAAATAATATTTACCGCAATATTTTTATGCAAGCTTGAGGAATAAACACGAAAATATACAAGTGCCCGTGCAAATAAGTGGATGGTGATGTGCACTACAAGTCCGAAATGATGCGGGATATTTGTGTAAATTCTAGTTGTCACTTGGGCAAATATCGCTTTTGAGGAAGTGCTTACCACTCCGTTGAGCCTATGCTGAAATATTTAGTATGATATTGATAATTAATTACTAATTTGATTGATCTGTAAATCTCTCCTATTAAATATGTTATAAAACAAAGTTATTGCTATTAGTATCTCTTTTGTTTATTAGGCCTTCATTTGAATGTTATAAGTAATATGAATTAGATTAAACAAATTTATTCAATCTAACATTAATCCCTACTATTTATTAAAGCATAATATTTTAATATATCTACATCATAAGCACCGTGCTCCTTGTAATTATATTACCGTTCAGAGTACAATGCAGGAAGAAGGTAATATATGACAGGATGTAAGTATCAAAGCCTAAACTCGGGGTCACGTAGGGCTTAAGTATGCAGTTATTATAGCTAAGTCTTTTCCTGAAAAACCTAGCGTGTACCAAATTACGCAATTTATGATACTAAATTATAATATCGTTTTAATCATGATGTATGATCCCGTCATGTCCCGTCCCAAAAATATCATTTAATTTAAGGTGGATCCAAAAATAAAATACAATTTATGGTTGATCCGGGATGGGATTGTAAGTTTGTAACATATAAAATTAGGAATTTAGCAATTATATATTCGTAGCTACTGAACAAGAATAAATAATCCTGAAAAACTTGGAGCATTCTTGGTAACTGATGATGATCAAGGGGCTATTTGGTTTCTAAAAAAATGAATGATATAATGTAATTGAAATATGTATTTGTAACACTTTAAATGCTTTGGTTTGGTTAAACTGTAAAGTAAAAAAAAACAAGAATTTATATTTTTTTTTGTTTAATTTGAAATGAAAAATCAATCTGTGACGCCTATGACGAGTGATGGCGGCTGAAGGGAGGCGGTGGCAGGCTATGGTGGCAGTGTGTAGTGTATTTGAAAATTGTCCAAATCTAACAAATTCAAAATTCACCAAACTTTACATTATATTCCGTCTTCATCCAACCAAATGCCAAAATTTTGAAACCCCCTGCATTTAGTTTACTTTACACCACTAATGCAAAGAATCAAACACTCTAGATTGGCAAAGGAACCTAAGAAACTGCTAAATCTTCAAAAGTTAATAAAATCCAATCAAAATATTTCAAAACAAAGGTCTAGAACTACAGGTTAAAACCAGGAGTCTTAAACACTTCCCACTTTGATAGATCTTCTGCAATCGAGAGTCATCAAAATTCAAGTACACAGTCAAGCAACTCTGCACTTAACTTGATATTGGCTGAATTATATTAACATACGATGAAAAGATTTAAATTTACAGAGAACCTGATTGTATTACAACAACGACATAACTATAACCTCTTCTAGTAGATAAATACGAATTTGTTTACACCTTGGTAAGGAGCTTGCTGGACTCTTAATTTACTTTTATTTTTAAGGGCATCTACATACATACCATCCAATTGCTATGTATTTACATATCTAACAACCAAATTTTGATTTTTTTTTTACATTTATACCACCCAAATCTTTTGTATCACATAAAAAAATACCAACATTTTAACTTCCAAAAAGTGAAATACACTTTTCATGCATAGGTAAGGTGGTATGCATGCACAAATTAGATATGCAAATGCATAAAAATTGAGTGGTATGTATGTAAATATTCCTTACTTTTAAACTTCGCCCTCAACTCCTGCTAGCCAATATCAAGGAAAATAAAAAACTTAAAAAGGATTTCAAGCTATAATTCTGAAAAACCTCAAACAAGCAAAAATGCATTGCAATTATTTACTATATTCTACACTATGCTCACGAACACTGATAGGTCTACATCAACATTCCAAAGCTTTCTTCCTAAAATATCAAACCTATGCTTGGCTTTAGAACTATATATGCACGTAACTAGCTTAGAATGAACCTTGCAATCTTATCAACAGTTCCTAAGCAAAACAAATAAGACGGGATAGCAAGGCTGAATCGGTGATATGAGTATCCACAAAGATCGATGTGCAAAACATGAAACGAGATACCTCTCAAAGTTTCGATTATGTGAATCAGACAAACATAATTGTTCGGGTGTTTAAACGTTATCTGGCCAAAAGTCCCTGAAGAAAGCTTGATCAAATTCCTTTTCTTTCATTCGTTCCTCATCTTGCAGCATTTTTCTTAATCTCTTTGATACTGCCTTTGGTCTCTCTGCAAACTGCAAGTTCACAAATAATGCTCTTAACCAAAAAGAATTTAAGCATAGATAAAATGGTAAAATTATTCTGCTTTGCTGAATGAAACTCCACACTAACGTGCCGATTAGAAATGGGAAGAACATGAGGAATAAGGGCTCTAGTGTTCCCAAATCTAAATTGGCTACAACTTCTTTTCAAAATTAGAGACACGTGATGTGTACTTAAAACAGCCTGGAGATCGGCAGAACACGTGCGAGTTGTGTTATTTTAAAGATCATATATTCATTTTTAGATTTTCAGCATTTTGTGTAGATAGTGTAATATTGATATTAAAACAATCATAATGATTCATGTTAATATTGCAATTAGGTATACCTTTTATCTTTTTCTTTTTTCCCTCAGTTCACCGGTTGGATGGCAATAAAGAATACTTGATAAAAAGTTGAAATGTAATTACAATTAAAACGACATTAATATTTCTTTCACTTATTCTGAAAATTTTCACTTGAAACATGTATACTAAATTGCAAGATTCTTTTTGAAGATTACACATTTTATATTAATAACTTACAAAAGAATATCATAGCTATGACTTCTCATGTCCAACTTTTTATATGTGTATTTCATGGTTGTCTTTAAGAGCTTGTCAGCGCCTAATAAATAGGCTCCTAGCTATGGATTTGGGAAGCAAGATGGGAAAATAAGAGAATCAAACAACTAAATAAATTCAAACATACATCCCCTGACAAGCTTTTAGATAAATAAAACATAAACAAAAGAAATGAAAAAATTAATCACTAGAATTTTAAACTTTCATAGAAAGAAAATTAGACCAATGTTAAACATGTATAAATTACTTACCTTTTCCTTATGGGTGTCAATAATATGCTTTGTTGAGAGCAGTTCTCTCTTCTTCTTGATCTCAGCACCTATCCCACACTTATTCTTCTTTACTTGTGTTTGTATTGGCTCTAGCCTACCCTGCACCGCAAAAGACGATAACAATTTTGACAATTTTAGGAAGCATATCAATTAAAATAGTAGAAAGATCATATATGAAAACAAAAAAAAGAAGGGAAAGAAATTTGTTGGACAGGAATATGTTCTGGTAGAGTAATTTTCTACATGGAATGTGTTCCCAAATCTTGATAACGACGAATCAAATGGGAAAACATAAAGAAAGCTGATAAGTGTATTCCCATATCTTTGATTCAAGGTTAATTTTCTTTAGTGGGCACTACCAGTTAAACCACATGTGGTTCGCGCGAAGTTCTCTGATTTATTAAAATAAAACTGATAACCTCCTGAAAAGGATAATTATAACAAGATTACTACTTATTGATTACGAGAGCCATGGAATCTTTCATGAGTGTTATGATTGTTCTATTTGTGATTTTATGATAATAAATCTTGTGTAGTATCATCTAATAATTTGCTAAGCATCTGTCGGCTATTCAGATATTAGCTAAACCGTGATGAAGATGGCTTTATTTAAGAGTCTTTGTAACTTTAAGTGGGGCAAACGATGAGCTCAATGGTTACAAGAATACAAATGAAGATTTCAAATGCCATTCATCTAATACGTATTGATTGTAAACAGTGGGAACATAATAAAATTATACACTAATGATATTCTAAAGAGCCAACCCACTTTCACAACAAAGATTATTACACTATTATTTCTTCTTTTTAAAGCAAAAGAGAAAAAAAAATTCCAAATCACAATATCGACTGATCCAGAAAATCTCTAATAAATTTTTTTTCTACAAATATAAAAACAGAAATTCATGCATTTCCAGCAAAAACAAGAGGGCGGATTTACTCCACGAAGAAGAAATAGTCTGTTACTTAGTTCAACCAAGAAAACCAAGATCAACAATAAATAAAACAAAATAAGCGCAAGAATCAACGAAAACTGAGGGTGAAAAAAAAAAAGCAGAATCGCAAGAACAAAATGCAAAAGAATCAAATAGCTCTAACCTGCTCGGAGGCTCCAAGACCCGTACCCTCCTTCCAGCCACTCTTCTTCAATAGCTGCAAGGATGCGACAGATAGAACATAAACGAGAAGGAAGAACAGAGTTAAGAACATACCGTACCCTAGAAAAAACAGAAGACTACCTGAAAACCTATGTTGGAAGAATCGAGCGCTCTAGAGTTCGATCCCATCGTTTCTTCCCGATTATTCCAAAAGCACAGAAGCTTAAACTGGATCTAGAATGCCCTAACTCGTCTTCCAAAGGAAGGCATCGTTTCTCGGCGACCAGGCGGTCCGGGATGGTACGGTTCTTGGAGCCTAAAGATCTCCTGATTTCTTTATTAATAAAGGATAATTCTTATGAATAATTATGTATTTTTAATTACGGTCATATATTTAAATAAAAATTTTCTTAGGATCATAATAAAAAGATCAAGCTTAGCTCCCAAAGTGGTTAAGCTAAACATTTCTATGTTCTGCTCAAGTGGTTGAACTAGTTTGGGGGCAAACCAACCATTAAAATAACCATCATTACTTCATGATACAAGTGCCAATCATTATTTATAGTGCCGCCCGACACTCGCGTCATCATCTTTACACCAAGACTAGACGGGCAGGTGCAATAATGTACGGAATGTAATTTTTTATTTATTTTCTCTCATGTATAAAAGATAGATCGGGTGGGCTGTCAAGAGAGCTTCTTGTGACATTTCAAAAAAATTATCCCAAATCCTTTGGGAATCTCTCTCTAAAAAAAAAATTAGTCTCTCTCTCCCTCTTCCATTACCAAGAATAAACTCTTTATTTGAGTTATCCCCAACAGCCTGAAAATCCTAAGAAAATAAAAAGTGAGAAACACGAGCTTTAACAATATATTCATCATCTTCTTTTATACATTCATTGATGTTGTATTCGATCAGAAGTGAGAAACTTCAAAACATTTGTTTGTGGACATTTCCCCTCTCCAGCATAGACATCAACACGGGAACAAAGATAAGAGGCCAATATTGTGATGTCAAGATCAGCGTCATGACTTTGGCTCAAGTGGAAGCAATTCCAGCTTGGGGCCACAATGCTGAAAATAGCAATGAGACTCGGTCCTACGGATTCGACATTGTACAGCCAAAAAATTATCATTTAGTTCCAATCAAAACTGAACTAGGCGGCCTCACGTCAAAATGCCCAAAGGATGACATTATAGCATAAGAGAAAACTAAGGCCCTATGCACACATGGGCACTCAAAAGAAACGATGGCTATAGTAAGAAAACACAACGAATCCTGTAACAGTTGCCTAGCCTAGTTTGTCTAACACAGAAACTAAGCCTATTCCTAAACAGAAAAGATAAGGGGAAAGGAATTTTACCTATTCAAATTCTGATGAAGTTCCTTGGATCAAATGCATCGAAATGGCTCCTCAAAGGCCTCTGGATGTCGGAAGAACCACCATTGTCTAAGAACACTCGATCGAAATTGGAAGAGCTTCAGAATGAGATATGGCGGGAAGACCACACACTAAAAACCTTAGCAAAGAGGGGAAACGACACGCTGATATCAAGATAAATTGCCTTGGAATTAAACAACAAGCATTTTGACTTCCAAAAATTAAACCTTGTGGTAGCCATGAACTACCCAATTTATAGGAAAACTAAGCCAGTGTGACGCCACGGTGTCTAGGTGCAGCACCACGGTGCAGAGATGTGGGGAGTATCCAGCAGGCAAAAAGGCACGGTGTGGCTCAAGAACTAAAAATTTTGGTGGGGCACCACTATGCTCCATGGAGGCTCGTGATGCCATTGACGAGGCAGCTTCTACATCGATTAAACTTCATAACAATTTCCCGCCAGGCGCCATCTGGGACTTGAGTCATCGAGTACTGTGACTCTTTGATCAAGGCACGGTAACACTAAGAAAAAACGTCGCGGCTCTGTGGCAAGGCATCACGGTGCTCTAGCAGTCTCTAAACAACCTAGCGTAGGCGTACGGTATGCTTGGATATTGGCTCCCATGTTGAGCTTCATGGAGCCTACCTTCTCCTCCCAGGGGTCAAACTCTACCTCAGCCCTGACGTATAGGGTGAAGATGAGGGAAGAATGGTCGATTCCAATTATGGAGCTCCCATGAAGTATATGAAATATGGATTGATGGATGATAAGGCCAACATGGATCGTCTAGTAATGTTGGATGTCATAGTTCAAGGACGCATGCTTTGGGTCACGATGTCACATGTTTTTTTGGGAAAGAATCACGTGGAGATAAGGAAATGTTAAGCCTTCACCTCGCAAGTGATTGCATACTTAGAGAGGTTAATATGGTGTCCCTAAGCCTCGATGGACCAAGCGAGATACATAAAGATCTCATTGAAGTCTGGGCCCTTGTTCAAGATATCAATAAATTGATCATAGCCTTTTCGTCCATGTCATACACACCATTGATTGTTTCTCGATCAAATTGCACCCAACACCCCCTGACAAACACCCTATCAGTCATGGGCTCCCTGGTATTTGTTGTGAACTCTTAAACAACTGAGGTGATTGTGGGACCCTGATTTCATGCCAACTCCACCTAGCCTCTTCTCATGTGGGTGGCGGCTATATCATCTCGGCCTCAGAGAAGTCTAACTCGGGGATAATATTTTAGTAGTGGTGGGATTTTGCATATCTACATGCGGCGTCCCAGCTTATGAACTGGGATGCATCAAACCCCTCTTCCTTATGAGAGGGCAATGTCATCCATCTCCTTGGAGGCATATCGAAAAAAGGAGGGGGAATTAACACAGGAAAATTTAAGATAAATAAACGCTTTGTCAATGAAATTAATGCGTGCATAACTAATACATAATTGGGCATCATAGCACCAGGCATACTGTTGTGGCACATACCTAGATTATAACTCTTTGGGTGGCCATAAATATCATTTTAGGTGGGGCGCCATGACGGTCCAACATCAGTGTCGTGCCCCGGCATTAAATTTTTATTGATATTTAATGAATGTGTGCCTCAACACCTAATCCTAGCACTGTAGGCTAATGGATGTTTTTAGAGTAAAATCTTAAATAATTTTAAATGTACTTTTTGAATTATTTTGAATTGTGTTATTTACAAAGTCAAAGATAAGTAATTGTAAGTCTCAATAACATAAATTTTTACTTACTAGTATATTAATAAATTTTCTAAAGCTTTATTTATTAGTTATATTTGGGTTTAGAATAGTTTTCATAGAATTTTCTACAAAAAATAAGACAAAGGTCAAACATCCTTGTTAGAAACATGGTGAAGGATCACTAATAATGCATTAACTATATGAGGGACATCATTTTTTTTAAACCATGTCAATAAGTGAATCATTTTGGAAAAATCTATTGATAATTTTAAAGATTGCATCATGACCTTAGTGAGTTTTGGGTAGGACAATAAAAAAATTTTTGGGATAACCTTCAGAAGGTCTATATGCTAAAGGTAAATTGATGTATTTGTAATTTCTTCTCTTTGAGGTTTTTGCAATTTAAGAAGCTAATAGATCATGATGCTTTCAACATCTCATTTCAATGAGGGTTTGTGGAACTTGGATCCTAACTAGTTAATTATCTAATCTTTATTATGGTGTGTAACTAGAGTGTAACTCAAAAAATAATAAGCCTCCAAAATATAATTAGCCTCTAAGAGAGGATAGATAACCATTAAGGGAAAAAAAATGTTGCAATAAAGAGTGGTGTTCTCCAAGTTTTCATAATACAGGAGAAAAAAGTTATGGTAGATAGAATATCCATCTTTAAAAAAATTAAGATTTCAAACTCTAAGAATGTGATGACTAAAATGATCAAGAAAAGTGAATCAATACTTTTTTTCAAATCCAAACTTATGGTTTAGGATAAAGGAATTATTCTAAAATATTATACCAATTTTACAAACGTGGTTCAATTTTTTAAGTGTTTTTGAATTAAAGGGAATGATGGTCTTAGTGAAGGATGAATTCTATATACAAAAGCTAACATTTCTAATGTCTCAATAACTGCATAATATTATATAGTTTTCTATAGATGGTGGAGTAAATTTACTTAAAATCATTGAACTTTTACATTAAAATGGTTGTGCTAGCTAGGTTCTCCACCAATGTATATGAAACATCACAAGAAAATCTTAAAAGCCCAATAAAGTCATGTAACATTAGAACAAGTGAAGAAATCATTGACATTTCTATTTAATCCAAAGATGTTTAAGTGATACTCCATGAAAATTTAATATATATTAGAATATCAATAATTGGAGCTACGAAAATGATAAAATATTAATTAAATCTTTAGAGAGCATCACTAATTCATGAAAAGTTAGAAAAATAATGAAAGATTTGAATGTTGTTCATTCTATAATTGCCTTAACTTTTGCAAGGTCAAGCAAGCTTAAGAATATAACATTTTTTCATTAAAAAAAAAATTTAAAGGCTTACATAAAGTTCATCACACCTTAAAATTTTTTAAATAAGTCTAAGATGGTCCAATTATGATTTTTTATCTTAGTGATAAATTATGATATCATAAAAAAAAAATCAAGAATTATCTAGTGAATGGCCTAAGCACTATACGATGAGTTATAAATAAACAAAGAAGTAGGTGAATTAGATTTATCTTTTAGTTTTGAAATTAATACCTTTGGAATAGTTAGAAATTAATTTTCTTCATGAAAGTAATTCAAAAAATATCACAAAAATAAAATAGTAAAGTGTACAAAGAATGTCAACATGGCAGAATAACTTGTATATGGTTCAGCTTGTAAGTGTATGTCCACATCTAGGTGCAAATATTCACATAAGCTTCCTGCAAAAAAAAAATATTATTAATATTCCTTTGCTCTACACAAGTAGATAAGCCCTGACTTTTTCCTTCTTTTAGGAGAATCGAACCCTTCATTGTAGTTGTAGATTATGGTATCACTCTAAGTCCTTGTCAAAGTAACACATCTATGTCTTTGCCAATAGTCCACGAAATAAAAAAACTATACAATATTAATAAAAAGAAAAGTACAAGACACGAACAATCAAAGATATGGATATAAATTTACATAGTAAAGTTGAGCACAAAGAAGTAAAGATTAAAGATATAATCATTTTCTATGCATGCATTTTTGTTTTTCTAAACTATTCTTCTATTTGAAAATTATGATAAAACAAATATTTTTCTATAAATGAAGCTTGGTGGCTAAAGTTTTTGTTAGCTTATTCCTTAGGGTTAGATCATTGAAAAGCATTGTGTTTTGATCCATTCTAAGAAGTAATCTATGAATGTAAATTAGAATTTCAAAATTTTTATAAAAAAATGTTAAATTTTTTTATAAATCTGTATTAAAATGAGTTATTTATACAAAAATATGATTTTTTTTTATATTTAAATTTAGGAGCATTTACATATGTAGCACAAAATTCTTATATGTACATATCTCACTACTAAACTTTCATACTTGATAGGGTTTATAATAGCCATAAAGGATTTGTGAAGTTCCATTAATGGAATCCCATAAACAATTCATTTAATAAACCAAAATGCTTTGTCTTGTACAGAGCAAATGTAATAGTTTACGGGGGATGTCAGCTAATTGTGGAGGCTTATAAAGGTTTGTAGGTGTCATAAATAAACTTTCAAACTTTTTATTTAAAAATATTTATCACTTATTTCTAAGATCTCGATCTTGGTTTCTCTTAAAAACATCCTATTTAATTTATTGAAATTAAAATTCACCAAAAAATGTACATAATGTAGTTTAATGTTAGGAATGGTAGAAAATATTTATAGTTATTAATTCCCTCATAACTTAAAGTAAATAATATCTTAACATGTAAACACATAGGAATTGGATGGTACGTACGTAATTGCTCCAACAAGAAATACATCTATTTTTGCATATATAATGTGGCATATATGTAAAAATTAAAGTTTAGGTGTTACTCATGTAAATGTATAAGAATTGAATGTATGTATGTAAATCTTCCTTTTCTTCGTTTACTACTGTGTTAGAAGAGCTAAAGGGGCACAAATTGCAGGTTGTTGGTGCTAAAGAATATGAAACTTTAGTCATACCTACACTTGTTATAGTTGTAAATATCAACAGGGGCAGACGAAGGGAAGATTATTTGCAGTAAGTTCTCCCTATTTATAGCTGCAGCATTTTTCATGGTATCTTTCGGTTCAACTGTAAAGCTATCCCTTATAAATGCTTTCAAGGCAATGATTTGAGAAAAGATTTAGCATTCTTCACATCTCAAATATGATACTTGTCATTGGGAACATAGTGTTCCATGCCACCTTACAGCATGTGTGAGTTCGCATCATCAATCAATTTTTTTTAATCACACTGCCCCTTCCTCCAATTCAACCTGCAAATTAATAAGGGTAGCCTTTTAAATAGCTTCAATTAATGATCTAATGCTGCTAGTTTCATTCTGAATTTGGTGAATAGTTGTCTTTCTATTGCATGACCTGTATTCATACTGGTACTGGATGTGTTCTAGATGTCATATTTTTTATGGTTCACAGTTATGTGGTTTTAGTAGTATGCTTTCTAGATGCGCTGTGCTTGAATTATTTGGTGAGTGGGTTAGTTATGTATATAATAGGCTTAAACAAGCAATATTAGGATGCACCTAGCACCTCTTTGGATAAATTGAATTTGTGGATAGATGTTGCACATCATAGCATGATAAATATGGCAATAACCTGTTAATCTTAAGTTACAATTCTGAACTTCACATGTTAATTTTAAGGAGTGTCTTATATTTTCCTTTCAAGCTCTTACTATGACTTGTGTGCTTTTATAAATGTCAAAATATACCTATTTTTCTTCCATTTTTGTCATGGAAGTTATTGAAATGGATTTCATTGTTTTAATACCTTCAATGAGTGCTAGGTTTTCGAAGAGTAAATTCATGTGATTATAGCATGATAATCATGGCAATATTAGGATGGATCCAGCCTGTAGATGGAATTTATGGATAGTAATTACACATCAAAGCATGATAAACCTAAGAATTTTTGGTTAATCTATGCGAGCAATATTTGTATGCATTTAGCACCTCATACTGCATTCTTGGATAGCAGTTGCACATCAAAATATGACAAACATGGCAATGAGATTTTTTATCTCTCTCATTTCCATCTAACAATTTTTATCTTCTGTTAGGATTTATTTTGTTTCATGGAATTAAAAAATGTTTTGAAAATAATGATGAATTTGTTAGGTTATGTCATTTGATTGGATGTATTCAGAAATACATATTGGTTAACTCTATAAATACCTTTCACATTGAACAAAGGTGAATCTAATTCAGTGTGTCCTGTCCGTCAACAAATTTATGCAATATTCTCCCTGCTAGCTTCTTCTGACTTTATACAGAGACCTAACAGTAAATGCTCCATGTTGGCTTCTTCAGACTTTTCTATGTCCCACTGTTTTCTTTGATCTACAGTCTCATGGATATATCCCCTCTTTAAGGTCAGCGTAGCCTAACAAGAGTATAAGACACCCTTTCCAAAGGCTCACTTGTGTATATATATAGCACAGGAAACAATCCCTTTTACATAGTCCTCAGTCTGCTGCACCAAGAAAGAAGAAAGTAAAACATCAGTAAGAAAAAATATATTTCAGAAATCTCTTTCTGCTCATCAATTGGTTCAAGGAGAGCGAATTGAAAACAAGTGCCATGGGAATATGTCCTTGTTGTGAAAAGGAAGGAGTTAAGAAAGGTCCATGGACACCAGAAAAGGATATAATCCTTGTATCTTACATACAAGAGCATGGCCCTGGACATTGGAGAGCTGTTCCAACAAATACCGGTAATATATATAGTTTTTCTCTTCATTTTTTACTTAATTTCTTCTAATTAGATCTTGCAGTTCAATCTCGGTTTCTAAAATTGTAATTGCAGGACAAGATCTGATTTTAGTGTAATTACTGGACAAAATTGTAATCACAGGTCATACTACACCCCTTCATTTGTTTTTTGTAGCGAATGTTGCATTCATGAGAATTTGAACATGAATCAGCTCTAGAACTTAAAGAAAAACTACCGGTTTCACTTACCTTTGACCTGCAAACAATTTCAGTTCTTAAATTGATGTGTTCTCAGGTCATACTACACCCCTTCATTTGTTTTTTTGGAAGATTTACATACATACAACGGAATTCCTATGTATTTACATATTTAACACATAAACTTTAATTTTTAGATGTATACAACCTTAATTATGCATAAAAAGGTAAGTTTCACTTTTTAGAAGCAAAAGTAATGGTTTATATGGAAGTAGTAATTGCACGTTTATAGGATTTTTAGATTTAATATTGAAGTATTATATCTTCTAAACTAATAAACTTTATGGTGGTTGCACCTGGTAGTATTTCCCTAGTTTGAAATTTGTATGTCATACTTAACATCGATTGTATGTAAAACACTTGCACTTTAACATCGATTGTATGTAAAATATCTCTTATCAGATGGCTGGAGCAAAACAAAATATATATTTCAAAAATAAATTAAGTGCAATTTTTAAGATATAAAATTATTAACAATTAGTGATTAATTAATTAATTTCAAATTAATCATAACTAAACAAATTTATATAATGTTATTTATTGACCAATTAACTAATTTATAAATATATTTTCATTTTCTTATTTATTTGATATAAATATAAATTTTCTTAATTATTAAAACTACTTAATTATTTATTAAAGTCAATTTATTGCTTAAAAAATAATTTGTTTAATATAAAAATTATTTTATATTCCTGTTAAACAGCTTTAAATCATTTTTACAGAAACAACCGCTTCTTAATTATTCTCACACAACTTCAACAGATAGACAATTAGGGTTTAGGGTTTCAATTATAATTATAAACCCTAAACCCTATAATTATAGCTTATATATTCATGCTCATCATCTTCAATATTTTAACCTCGAAACTCTTACAAATGAAGCAAAATCAAATTAATTAATTTCAAACTTATGAAGGGCCCAAATCATAAAAATTGGAATATAACATGCATGCCATTAAGAAAATAAATATCAAGGGCTCAAAATTATCAAGAGAATAAAGCTATTTCATTTAATGATGACCATCTTTCACTAGAGAAATACTTAACAAGTCGATCAAAGGACAAGACATCATGACTTCCTTTGATACAAAGCATGGACGTTCACCGAATTTATTTTAACAGTTGTGTTCGTGAAACAGGAAAGACGAGCTATGACCTGAAATGACAAAAATTTGCCGTTCTTGTGAAAGAGCTTCAGCCGTGGTTTTCCCAGATGATAATTTTTGCAGAGATCAGCGTTCGCTCCAACCAAACCTAAAACCTATATTCAATTATCACTCTATAGAAGAATTGTCTAAATTGGGTAAGACAGTTAAATAGAATTAAGCTACTCTTCGGCCTTGATCTTCCTCTTCTTTGATTTCTTCTCTCCATGTGACTGAGCAGAACCAGTGGCAGTACTGTTCATCTGGCTTTCAGGTTCAGCCCGTCCAATAGATCTCATAGACGTCGATGCAGGTGTGCGGTCCTCGTGTTTCTTTTTCCGAGAGTGTTGCTGGGGAGTTTCCAATATTCCCTGTCCAATACTGTGGCAAGAGGTTAATGTCTCGCGGGAAGATCTATCAGTTACAGGTTGGCTTCCATGGCTTCCATGCCTGTGTATGGTCGGGAGATGGGACAATGCTTTCATCTTCGAACCTGAGAAAATGATAAAATGTCTTTTTAAGTTTGAATATCATATGTAAAAATGTGCCAAAGCACTAAAATATTTCATAAAAAATATCTTGAACTTATCATAAGGCAGATAATCAAATTGATATTCATTCTCAGATTTCCTCAGCTCAAAAAATGTTGTACACATTGGGAACTTCATTGGGATAACTTTTTTGCCCAATCCTCATCCTCAACTAAAGTGTAAAGGTTCATTTCAGGTTGAAGTTAGCAGTTGAATACATGGTTGACATTTTAGGGAAAATTAAATAGGAAAAGTTATATGTTAATAACTTAAAAAATAGAATGGCAAGCAGATTCATAAAACACCAGAAAGCAATTATACCATATTTTTAGAATCAGCTAAAACTACTCCTCGTCTTACCTTCAAGTCTCAAGTTGGGATTGCTAAAACTGCCCTTATCAAATTCACCGGGTTCCGGATAGCGAACTAAACAAACACGCCGAGAAATCTTCCCAACTACATCACATGATGAACATAAAACAGGAACAGTAAGTGAGAAATATATCTTTACATGAATGATAATATAAAAGTCAACAGAAACCATTACTAGCACTATACAGCTGATGTGTTCTTTAGCATCCAATAAAAAGCTAAGGATGTCACGATTTAGAGGACAAAAAACAATCTCTCTTCAAATTAAAATACAAATAATAATATCTGGGATTTTTGCTAAGAATAATAATTATGTTCCAAACTCTACACTAGTGCTTAAAACTGTGCAACAAAAGATATGCTGTAGCGTTTTTAAAATAATTAGCGATGTTGCGCCTGCATGCGCCTCATATGACTCGCTATGTGAAGCACAAGCCTCACATAACATGAGGAGTTAGTTATTGCGAGACACGCACAATTCAAATTAGGCCTCCTTTTTTATACAAATGTTAGAAAATTGAATCAATAAACCTATTATTAAGTAATTCTTATCCCTCACGTTCACAATATACCCAAAACCGAGTCAAGTGCTTCTCACAAGCATTCCCTTTTCTGGTCCTAAAATTGGCACAGCCTCCTTTCTTGTCGTTTCCACCGCCTTTGCAAGTTCTCTTCTTCCACTAGGAACTCATCTTAATTCACATTTCTCTTTCTTCCGATGACAGTCCCTAAATTCTAAATTTTTTATTTCCTTCTAATTTCACTGCTTTTCTATTTAGAGATTCTTATCCATTTGAAATTAGCATGTTTCAATTTTAAATAAAAATTTCTTCTGTTTAAGCAATCTAGGATTTTTAATGTATAAATACAACAACAACAACAAAGCCTTAATCCCACTACGTGGGGTCGGCTGCATGAATCATTTCTCTCCATTGTGTCCTATTTAGTGTCATATTTCCATTTAGTTCTAATAAATTAAGATCATTTTTTATACAATAAGTTCAAGTTTTCCTAAGTCTACCTCTGTCTTTCTTAACATAAGTCGAATCTTAAACATCTACTCTCCTAATCAAATCCTCAGATGGTCGACGTTTAATGTGACCAAACCATCTAAGACGACTCTCTCTAATTTTGTGCGTCGCTGGAGCTACACCAACCCTATCACGAATATATTCATTTCGCATTTTGTCTCTAAATGTAAAGCCACTCATCCACCAAATCACTCACATCTCGACAACACTTAACTTAGTATTAAGCTTTTCTTTTAAAAGTCAACATTCAATGTCATAAAGCATTGCATTTCTCACCACCCTCTTATAAAATTTTCCTTTCAGTCTAAGCAGTACTTTTCTATCACACAAAAGACCCGAAGCATTCCTCCACTTCAACCAACCAACTTGAATTCTACCATTAACATCATCATCTATATCACCATCACTTTGAACAACAGACCTGAGATAACTAAATCGTTCACACCTTTTAATAATTTGATCATCCAAAGTTACACTTCTGTCACTAGAGCTATTACTACTAAAATTATATTCCATGTATTTAATTTTAATTCTACTCAAATGAAGGCCTTTAGACTCCAATGTAGACCTCCATAATTCAAGTTTTTTCTGTGTTTTTTCTCTCGTCTTATCTACGAGAAGGATATCATCAGCAAAAAGCATACACCAAGGTACATCCTCCTGTAAATATGTCCACTAAGACCATCCATAACTAAAGCAAAAAGAAATAGGCTTAGAACTGATCCCTGATGTAATCCAACAAAAATAGGAAAATATTTGGTCCATCCTCCTTCGATTAGAACACAAGTAACAGCTCTAGTATACATATCTCTAATGACTTGAATATAAGTCATATCAACACCTTTCTTTTCAAGAACGTTCCAAAGGACATCTCTTGGAACCTTATCATAAGATTTTTCTAAATCAATAAAAATCAAATATATATCCTCCTTATTATCTCTGAACTTCTCCATCAAACCTCTCAATAAATGTATAGCTTCCATGGTAGACCTGTCCGGCATAAAACCAATTTGATTATGAGAAATCTTTGTAATACATCTTACCCTATGTTCAATTACCCTCTCCCATAATTTTAAAGTATGTCACATCAACTTAATTTCTCTATAATTTGCACACTCTTGTGCATCCCCTTTACTCTTAAAAAATGGGGACTAAAATACTCTTTCTCCACTCCTGACATCTTTTTAATTTTTAAAATAATATTAAGAAGTTTAGTAAGCCAAGAAACTCCCAAATCTCCAAAATATTTCCACACTTCAATTGGGATATCATCAAGTCTTCAATTGGGACAATTGGGATATCATCAAGTCCCATAGATTTTTCACCCTTGGTTTTCTTTAAAGCCTCTTCAATTTCTTTTTTACTAAGGCGACAATAAAAATGAAACGTTTAATTATTATGAACGATATTGATATCACTAAAGTTGATCGTATTTTCAGAAAAATAACTCACCAACCTATGTTGAATATATTTTTCTATAAAAAGTATTTTTTTTATTTTCATCTTTAGTACACTTTACTTGGGTTAAATCTTTACTTTTCTTTTCTCTTTGTTTGGCTACTTTATACAATTATTTTTTACTCTACTTAGTATATAATCTATCATAAAGATCACTTAAAGCGGAATTTTTAGTGTCACAGATTGTTCTTTTAGACTCCCTGTGAACCATTTGATATTTTTTTAAATTCTCTAAGTTTTTACAATTACAAAAATTTTTATAACATAACTTCTTATATTTTATCTTTTCTTGCACATTATTATTCCACCACTAACTATTTTATTTATAAAAACTTTTCATTTTGATTCTCCAAGTATATCTTTTGTTACTTGTTTAATAGTGTTTATTACTTCATCCCACATAGCATTTGTTTTTTCATGAACATCCCAAATTTTGAAATCTTGAATTTTACTCATAAAAATAATTTATTAGTGTGTTTTAGGTTCCTCCATCTAATTCTACGATGATGAGTCCTAGCATTCTTTATTTTATAACTTTTCACTTTAAAATTTAGAACTAATAATCGATGTTGAGTACTTAAATCCTCACTTCGAATGATCTTACAATCCTTACAATCTCGACGATCTCATCTTCTCATAAGAAAATAATCAATTTGTGTTTTATTAGATCCATTCTTATAAGCAATAAGATACTCATGTCTTTTCTTGAATAAAGTATTAGTAATAACAAAACCATACGCTAAAGCAAAATCTAAAATGACTCTACCTTCTTCAATCACTCCAAAACTGTAGCCACCATGAATATTTTTAAAATCTTCTACCACTCTACCGACATGTCCATTTAAATCTCCTCCAATAAAAATTATTTCTTCATGAAGTATCATTTGTATTAAGCCCTCTAAGTCATTCCAAAATTTAACTTTAGTCCCTCTATCTAAACCTACTTGAGGAGTATAAGCACTTATAAAATTAAAAAAATTAAAAATCTTAGTATCAACAATAATAATCTTAAGAACCATAATTCTATCACCAACTCAAATTCAGAATCATAAAATATTTTCAAAAGCATGATGTTTCCTAAAAGATATTAAACTAGTCATCAAAAGAGTTGTTATCATCACCATAAGTCAAAAAGTTCTCATTTCCTTCATCAACAACATCATTATCTCATAAATCATTATATTCTTCATCACCCTCATTATCTTCATATTCAATTGCAATAATGTTGAGCGACTTAGATGATTCATTCTCTTTGCTTTTAGATTGCTCTTGAACAATATAGTTTCTTTCATAAATACCAGCGGCAACGTTATTCCATGTCAATTCTTCCTCACTAATAACCAACTCATTATCTTCATCTAATTAATCATCTATTTCTATTGTTAACCTCTCATTAGAATAATTAATATTATTTAAATAAATAGGATCAACGTCACGATAGTTGCATCTATGAATCAACGCCCTGTTATATTTTACATAAACTAAAGCTTTAAGGCAATCATGATCCCTTCAATTTATGCAGCTGTATTAAAAATCATTAAAATTATTAATCTATAAAATTAATAATCAATGAACAATTTTTATTTTATACTCGCGTGTTCAAATATACTCCAATTATGTTTGCATCCAGATGAATTACAAATTAGACTAAGCACTTTAACCACACAACTTTATAAGTGTGAAGCTCATTGGCCATATACGAGCAACTGCAAGGAGGTAGATTTTCCCGAGCTCTGCTAGGGCTCCAATTCCCTTTTCTCCCCTTCTTTCTTGTGAAACTCTAATTGTTTAACAAGCTCAGATCCCCTTCTCTGTTCTCCCTTGCTGGGGATTCTAGCCCTTCGTACCCCATGGATACCTCTCCTTTTCCTCCTCTCGCTTCATCGGGTCCTTCCTCTATTCTTGGACCGGGACTATTGCCTGATTAGAAAAATCTAATTTCTTCCCATTTCTCTCTCAAATCTAACTTTAATGTCACCTTTATTTCGTGTTATGAAGAGAAAATATCTTTCTCTTATGAGGAGGTGAACGAAGGCTCGTTGCAGTTAAGGCTTGCGTTGGTTGGTTATGCTCTCGGTAAAAGGTGCTTTTACGATAAGCTTCATTCTCAAAATTTGAAACCTGAAGGGTACCGTGGATCTACTCTCTCTTAATGAAGGGGTGAAGGGTTTTTTTTTTCTTTTTAATTTCAATAGTGAGGAAGATAAGGACATAGTTTTATCCGGGACACTTTGTTATATTAATGACCGGCCATTTTTCTTTAAGCCTTGGACTCATGACTTCAAACATATCAAAGAAGATTTTCAAGAAGTGCTTTATTAGATAAAGCTTCCTAGCTTCCCTCTTTGTTGTTGGTCTGAGAAAATTTCCAAAGTTGTTAGCAAGATAGGTATTCCTCTTACAGTAGACCGCTAAAGCCTCCCGTCTTACTTTCGCTAGGAATTATGTCCAGATTAATGTGAACTCTGCTCTTCCAGATCATATTACTCTGAATACAAAAGGAAAGAAATTATCCAGGATAATATCTATGAATGGAAACCCTTTGTCTGTAAGAGTTCTGAGTGTTTTGGTCATGGATTTGATTATTGTCCCAAG